TCCCAGTCTTGTGTCTTACGATCCAGCCGTATGGACCCCCTGCTCCCATTTCTTGAGGTGCAGCGCCCCTGGCTCCTTCTGGGCTTCGGGGATTAGTGTGCCTGCCTGCGGCTCACTCGCTCATTCAGTGAACACATATGGAGTGCCTACTATGTGCCAGGTATTTTAAGCAATAGGGACATCGAGCTAAAACAGTGTATGTTTTCATCGGACAACAATTAGTAAATATATAGCACAGTGAGTGGCAAGTACTCTGACCTGTGGGGGGTGGGTACTGATTTCACTGGGGTAGGGGAAGGCCTCCCCAGAAAGCGTCCTTCGAGCAGAGATCTGAAGTGGGTGGAGGAGCACTATCTTGAGATTTTCCTGGTTTGTTTTGCTTGTTATGACCCTACCCCAACAGCACCTAAATCCACGAGTAGAGACCTTGCCTTGTCCACTCCTCTGTCTCCAACGCCTGGGGCCTGGCACACAGTAAGTGGGGATATTCTGGTGAAACTTGGCACAGTTCTAGTCTTGATCATTGCTGCTGCTTCACTTGAAGAGCTGGGAGGAGAGCTACTGCCCACAGAGGTACCACTTTCTAAAGCAAATCACACCTTCCTTCTAACTTGCCCTCCTGGAAACTTCCTCCTAAAAAGGGGCTGATTTGAAGAAATTGAGATTGTGGTCACGAAACAAGTGGGTTGGTTCTAATAAGATGGGATTTCATAAGAGGAGGTGAGATGCCAGAGGAAGCCGTTGCTTCTGACAACCAGAGAGTGAGGGTGAGGACAGGGGCCCCACGAGGAGGCTGTAGGGGCGGCAGGGGGCAGTGGGCGTTCCTGCCTGCCACAGCGGGGGCGAGGCCCAGGCACGCTCTTGGGTCCCCGTTGGCGAGCACTCACCAACCCCGCACGCTGGGCAGAGCAGTTAACTCCCGGTGTTGTTAAAGAAGAAATTGTTCTGACACCTGTTAAAACAGTTGGGACATTTCATTCAAGACGGTTGCAGAGTTGAGAGATAGGGCTCAGCTCTGAACCCAACAAGGAAGCTGGGGCTTTATAGCCATGGAGCAGAGTCAGGGTCAGGGGCGGCGGGGCAGCTCAGTGGATGGGAAATCGCCAAGAGGGGACACCAAGAGGAGAGGGTTTCTCGCTAAACTGGCCTCACAGGATTCTTGCTACAGGCGGGCCAAGGACTTCAACCTCAAAGGAGCAGGTGGGGAACTCCGTCAGATATCAAGGGGTGGGAGAGTCTCTCTAGGCTGACTTAGCAGAGTTCTCACTAGACTCTGCTTCAAGGACGGACACAGAAACCCAGGGTACGGTCTCACAGAGAACTGGGCTCAGAGGGCTGACTACAGTCTGGTCAAGGGGAGCGCCCACCTCTCTTTCCTCGTCCGATACCTGGAGACAGGAATGCCAGCCTAACTGCCCACGGGGCTGTTGTGAAATAGTTGTTCAGAAGGCCCCGCACAGGCCCCACATGGCTGAACAGCGTGAGCGGAACAGGGTCTTGTTATGAGGCTGTGCCTCTCCCGCCCCGCGCTCCAGCAGCCCGCTCTCCCTGCTGCCATGCGGGTCCTCTTTGATGCCAGCGACGTCTCTGGCACGGAATTACCCTGGCAGTGGGCAGATGCTGTGAGGAGGAAGGGGCAGCTGATGGTGAGGGGAACACAGACTTAGGGATCTGTTCTGGAAAGAATTGATAGGGCAGTAGGCAAGGGGGGGCAGCCTGTAGGGGGGCGGCCCCCAGTGCTTGGGCCATGTAAGCTGGTCCTTGTGCTGAGAGGTCGCGCCCATGCCTGGGACACAGCTGTTAGAAAGAAGACATTGTCCCGATGAGAGCTAGTCTGAAGCAGTGGGGAAAAGAGCATTTGTTGAAATGACAGGCTAATCTTTTGGGGGGAAATCAAATTATATTCCCATTTTACATCATACTTCAAAATTAACACAAGACAAATAGAAGTATTAAGTGTAAGGTGAATATTTGTATGATCTTGAGAATATGTATATGATCTTGAAGGTAAGGTGGGTAATTGTAACATCAAAGGGACAAAACAAGTTTAATAAATTTGATGAGCAACAAAACTTACCAGTTACAAGAGAGGTGCCAATGCCAACTAGTAAAAAAAATGTATGCAGCATCTGTTCCAGAGACTGCATTCTTAAGGTTATAAAAACACCTATAAAACTATAAAAATGATGAATACCATTAGAGAAAAGTGGGTACAGAAGAAGACACTCCTGACAACCAACGAACAGATGGAACAACTCACTACTGCAAATCAAAGAACTGTAAATGAAAGCAAAGATTGCAAACACTTATTCAAAGGTTTCTATCAAGAATTTGGGATGTCACACACATTGACAATAACCGTGTGATTTCAGGTTGCATTTAAATCCTGAAATATTTATAAAGAAATGCTATCCCATAAATGTTTGTAAATTAGAATAATTTCTTTAGTGATATTAGACTTCAATGCTAAGATTACAATGATTCATAATTAGCACTTTCATACCAAGAAGCATCTCTTTAATTCTTATTTGTTCTCAAATTTAAGAACCTTAAGGAAAAATTGATTTACCCACATCTTCTCACAGGTAGTATAGAATTTGGCCTACCTTTTTAAAGAATAATTGCCCCCCCACTCCCCCCCATCCCCCGCCAAATTCCAAAATGGATGGGTTGCCACCGTATTTGGAAACTTCCACTGGTTCTGAGCCACAGCTGGGCGGGGCTGGGTGTGACAGGAAAAGATGTCATGTGAGCATGAGGGTCCACCGCCTCAGACCGAGGCTGTTAGTGTAGGTTCATCGCTGCACTTAAATCAACAGTTGTGTGCGTTGCCTATGTGCACATGTGTTTTAGAAAGAAGAAAGGATCGGCAACCTGAGGCATCGATAATACGTGGTTTGAATTTCACCATTCAAGGGAACAGGGTGCCAAAAGCTGGCTGGAGACTCGGCAGCTGGCTGGAGGAATTCCTCACCCAGGAGAGCAAGGCTTCAGCCGACATAAGAAGGGAGACAATTGGGGACCTCTTGGTAAAGATCAACTTTCCCATGGAGCAAAAAGAATGCCAGTGCAGTGGGACAAAGGACATGCATCTTAATCATGAGCATCATTCATAAAATGCCTTTTGTGTATTCAGAGTGCTTTAGTGCTTGGCTCTGTGGGCCAAGCGTAGAAAAGAGCCAAAAGGAATTTTTATTGTTAGGCTTTCAATGAACTGAACTTTCTGTGAAAGAATTCTGACCAACTTCATTTCGTACTTAATTTTTTTAAAAAGCAAGGGTGGTTTGTTTTTGTTCTTTAAAGTTAGAGGATGCCCCATGGTAAGTGACTGCGCTGAACAGAGCCAGAAAACATTTTTAAAATTGATGAGTTATTAACTGAGTTCATAGCGGGAGGGAAAGAAAAGAAAATGGGCTACTTCAGTTCTTTTTGTTTGTTTGTTTTTGTTTTTTAAATAATGACTACTCACCAGGCAAAGGGATATTTCCCTTTGAGCTCGATAAATAACATTCAATATTTGCCTACATCACAGCCATAAATCCTTGTGGGAGCCACTGAGTGCCCCCACCCCACCCCCACCTCAGCAGATGGCTCAGAGGGGAGACCGGCCATGAGCATGCACTGAGGTATTCAGTTGTTGCTAACTCGTGAAAGTCTCTTGCCACCCAGATGAAAATAAATGCATATATTTAGGAGGTTCATCCAAAGCCATTGATTGGCAGCACTGGATTAGGACTCTAGATGCAAAGAGAACAAACAAATTTACTCTAGAGGCTTTCTCTGTCTATGCGTCAGCAAAGAAGTTGTGATCAAATATTTATTAGTGCCTTTGGCTGGGCCAGCAAAGCATCGAGAGATATATAGCATGTTAAGGCTGCTTGCTAACCTGAGCGCTGCCTGGATATGAACATCTGCTCTTTAGTTACGTACTCAAAGCAGCCCCCAAGCACCCCCTCCCTCTATGTCCTGGCGCTCACTCTCTTATTTTGCAACTGTACTTAGTCATGGAACTTCCAGAGCCCCTCTGAGTCTGGGGCCAGAGCCTGTGGCCAGTGAGTCAGGTTTTTAACAAGCAAAGGGGCTCTGGCTTAGCATGATTAGTTCAGATCATGGCAACACGGGCTGAGGAAAAAGCCACTGTTGTTGTCTGTTCTCTGCCCGATTGGGGCATTCAACCTGTCCTACCTGCTATCTGCCCCCCCACCTCCCCCCTGCTCCCCCAGAAACCTCCTTCTTTCACACAACAGGGTCGTTCATCCGGTGTTAATGCAGAAGAGACAGGGACAGAGGCAGAAAGTCTCTTACTAGTGTAGCTCGTGGTGCATGAAGAGTTCTGTTAGTGATCTCTGGCATCCTTCAGTATATTGCTGACCTTCCCTTGTAGATGTTAACCCGACTGTAAGAGAAGGGGTCAAACACAATGTAATCTCTGAGGTCAGGGGTCAAAGCCCCTGCTTCTAACCATTCAGGTAGGCAGCAGTCTCAAAATGAAATGGAGAGCAAGCTTGATGTTGCAAAGGTTCAGACCCTGCCTCCGCACATCCTGATTCAAGTAGGTTGGAGACACCCCGCAAAAGTGGTATTAGAACTCTTCCGAGGTGACTCTGATTCAGGGTTTTTCCAGGTCTAAATGATAATCTATTAACCTGAATACATTAATTCATCCTATGAAATGGCACCAGAAATAATCTGACTTGTTACTGAACATGGAAGATGTGCATCCCTCTGTTCCGGCGGCCTCAGTGGGATACGAGGGAGGGGCTGGCTGGTATTTCACTTTTTGGTACTTCACCTTCCCTCCTTCGGCCATGGAGACAAGCCGGCTGTCCCTGTGCCAGAGCCGTGGCAGGGAGAATGGTTTGTGGTACGCAGTAGAGGCCACAAAAACAACAACAACAAATCCTCAGAAGAAACGGGAAAAATAATCTGATTGTAGCCAGCCAGTTAGGTCTGCGCACACTACTTCCACCGTAAGCCCTGACGCCATCTTTCTTTCTTAGCTGTCACAGTCAGGCCAGAAGATGACATCACGACCTTAAAAATGGAAGATGGCATGGTGACCCCAGGTGTGGAAGATAACCCAGTGACTCCCGGTGCCAGTAAAGAACCCTACGAGTCTGCTGGCCTGACAGCCCAGGTGAGTGTCCCAGGAAGGGAGGAATTCGGTTTGTCGGCATGCGGTCACATGCAAAGATGTGTGTGTGTGTGTGTGTACACACACATATATATTTCTATTTATATATTTATGTATATGTAATCAGTGAGAGCCACCCTGTGAAGGAATTGTTACAAGGTTTGCAGAAAAAGGGTCCTCTCAGTTTCATCCAGGTAGCTGGTGTGCTGATCGCCGGTGATTTGAGAGTATACAGCAGGGCCTCTCACTGGTAAGGCAGTAGGTTTACAGACATCCAATCTGTTACAGCCCACTTTTCATTGCAAGAAAAACCTTGGATCCTGCAATACCGGCATTGCTATGAAAGCTCTTAGATACTGAGTCAGAGTTTCTTGTCTTATTGTGAACACAGACTAGAAGCACAGAGCACACTGGTTTAGTCTACGTGGAGTCCCAGGTGACACATTCCCAACCTAATGCATTTCAATCGGTTCATAGGTGTCTTAAGCACCTGCTGTGGGCAAAACAAGATGCCAGGCTCTGGGAGGCACTGAGGAGGCCTAGAAGCCACACCCTCAACCCTTGAGGGAATCTTGGTCCCACTCCCCTGTCCCCCTCAGAAGCTACCCTCTAGCTCAGAGGTCAACAAACTATTCACCAGACTTAGACCACCACCTGCTTTTGTAAATAAAGTTTTATTGGAACATGGCAATGCCTGTTCAGATGAGAATGATCTCAGGCTGCTTTCCTACGGTAAGAGCAGAGTTGAGTAGTTGGTTGCAACAGATACTGAATGATCTACAAAGATGAAAATATTACCATTTGGCTTTTTACAGAAAAGTGTGCCAGCGTTGAGAACTATGCTAAGCACATAGATACTCATTAGTATATTTTTTATTGTGTTAACAAACACGTAATATTAGATTTGCCATCTGAACCATTTTCAAGTCTACCTATGAGTCAGTAGTATTAAGTATGTTCACCATGTGAACTAGATCTCCAGAATGTTTTCATCTTGCAAATCTGGAACTATATCCATTAAACAATAACTCTCCTTTTTCTTCTCCCTCCAGTTCTGGTAACCTCCACTGTACTTTCTGTCTATATGATTTTGACTGCTCTAAGTATCTCAGTATCAGTGGAATCACACAGTATTTGTCTTTTGGTGACTGGCTTATTTCACTTGGTATAATATGGTGAAGGTTGGCTCATGTAGTAGTATGTGTCAGAATTTCCTTCCTTCTTAAGATTGAATAATATTCCATTATATGGATGTGCCACATTGTGTTTGTCCATTGAGTGTTGTTGAACATTTGGGTTGCTATTGGCTATTGTGAACAGTGCTGCTATGAACATGGTTGTACAAATACCTCTTCAAGACCTTGCTTTCAATTCCTTTGGGTGTATACTCAGAAATGGGATTGTTGGGTCATATGATAGTTCCGTTTCTAATTTTTTTGAGGAAACTCTATCCTGTTTTCCTTTGCGGTTGCACCATTTCCAGTTATAGCAACAGTGCACAAACGTTCTGATTTTTCCACAACCTTGCCAACACGTTATTTGCTGTTCTTTTAATAGTAGCCATGCTCACAGGTATGAGGCTATAATCTTGCTCAGGTATTGACTTGCATTTCTCTGATGATTATTGACATTAACAATCTCTTCGTATGCTTTTTGGCCATTGTATATTATCTTTGGATAAATCTTCAAGTCTTTTGCCTGTTCTTTAATTAGGTTATTTGATTTTTTTTGTTGTTGAGTTGTAGGAGTTCTTCATACCCTTAACAGGTATATGATTTACAAATATTTTCTTGTATTCCCTAGGTTGCCTTTTTACTTTCTTTACTGTGTTATTTGATGCACATTTTTTTAAGTTTGATGTGGTCCCATTTATCTATTTTTGCTTTTGTTGCCTGTGTTCATTACCATTATTTGTTGAATGCTCTTGTACATTGGCATAAACTTTGGAGTCAACAGAACCTCTTCATCCAGGTCTTGTTCTGTCTGTTGTTGGCTATGTGAGTTTGGGTATATTTTCTGATCTCTTCAAGCCTTGTTCATACTATAGGACTAATAGGATCTATTTCATAGGGGTTTTCTGGGGAGTAAACAGGGTGTTTAATGAGGCTGGTACATAGTAAGCCCTCTTTGGGAGAGGGAGGGCAGTGGAGGATAATAGTGACATAATATGTGCCCCCCCAAAGAATGTTGCAGGGAGGAAAGGCCATCAAATTCAAGGGAGAAAAAGAATTAAAGCTTAGAGGTCTGGTATTTTCTGAAGAATTAAAACTCTAGGAAGTCAGCAAGAATTCAGACCATGGATGTGAGCATTTGGCATTCATTTCTAGAGTCCACATGGTTTTATTCCTGTTCCCACTCTTTGTACACTTGTTTCTACTTTCCATTTATATCATCATATATTTTATATATGTATATGTATTTAATTTTTTTCTTAAAAGACAGCATATGTATTTTAAAACATTGTACATTTCTGTTTTGCCTCATTTACATCTCCAATAGGTGCCCACAAACACAAAGCGTGCAGACATTCCCATAGAAGACATGTCAACCCCAGGAAGCACAGTCCCTGGCCAAGAAGGAAGCCAGAGCACCACGACCTTGCATGCGGCCACTAGCCACTCTGTGGGTAAGAAAATCAGTCACCCCAACAGGCATTGATCTTGTTTTGCATAATCAGTACCTTCTCAAAATCATGCACAAATGTAATAATCAATAGGGCATATATTGGAATGCAAGAGTGAATTCTGAAGCAAGCCTTATAGGTAGTTTCAGAATTTGGTATATTAGGTTGCTAAATCAAAGCTGATTTATTGGGCTGCTGAACACAGCTCTTTACCTTGATTGAAGGCTGGTGATTATGCCCTCACAAGGGCAAGTTAAGTAGCCACTGGTGTCATGTTCCTGACCCTAAGCTGATAAAATGCTACACGAAGAACTTTGTGTTTTCACCCAAGAGCATAAAGCTCAGCCAACCTATGTAAACCTTAATGGATTCTATAATACTATTTATCATCGTGCGTTGAGTTTATGTCCTTGCCTGTGGAGCAAGAATGTTTTCTAAGGCATGCTTACCAGGGCTTGGGGCGGTACTTGTGATGCACAGTTGGCACCAATGAGACATCTTGGAGGGAGACTGTAGAGGAGGACCTTGTGTCTTTGTCATTAGTATGAGGTTTGGACCCTCACTGCTAAGAATGAGGATAGATCATTGCCATTACAATTTGGCAATAGAAAGAGATAGCTTCCTATTTCTAGAGCTTTCTTCAAAGAAATTAAGTGGTTTGTTTAATACGCCCTAATTTTGTAGTAGATGGGGTAGATGGAAGAGGAACTAGCCCTACAATAAGTATAATGAGCTATTTTTCAGAAACCATTTTATCTCTAATAGGTCGGTATTTCCATCTTTAAATGAAAGCAGACACAAAGACCTCACCTAAATGCACACCTGAACACCTAGAACGTTATTCTTTATTGTCAATATACATTTCAAGGCCCGAAAGCCAATCTGGTTTTACAAAATCTATCACACTTCTGAGGATTTTTTTTTAAATGCTTGTAAAATTTTTTGTACACCCGTGTTCATAGCAGCATTATTTATAAGAGCTAAAGTGTGGAATTTATGGACAGATGGATGGATAAACAAAATGTGGTGACTACATCCCATGGAATGTCACTCAGCCTGTAAAAGGAAGAAAATTCTGACACATGGTGCCACACGGGTGAACCTGGAAACATTAGGCTACATGCAATAAGCCGGTCACCAAAGACAAACACTGTGCTATTGGGCAGAAATGAGGCGCATAGACCAGTCAAAGGTTTAGAGACAGAAAGCAGAGGAGTGGTTGCCTCGGCTTGAGGGGGAGGAGAGATTGAGGAGTTCCTGTTTAATGGGTGTATTATGTCAGTTTCGTGAGATGAAAAGAGCTCGGCAGATGGACGATGGTGATGATAACACAAAAAAACGAATGTACTTTCTACCACTGGATTGTACACAAAAGTGACAAAGATAGTACATTTTGTGTGATCTATATTTTACCACAATAAAAAATAAAAGCTGCATAAAAGCACTTTGAAAAGAAAGCCTAAAGGTCACTCCAACATGCTAAAGAAATGGTTAACATGTAAACAGCTGAGAAAACCAAAAGTGGCTAAGCTAGAAAAGAATCATCAATATAATTGGTCATGGGAAAGCATTTCAAATTTTGGGAGAGAAATTGATCATTTGCAACGTGAGTTGACAGCTAATTAACAGAAGAAAATGGAAACATCCCAGTTGAGTGTTCTTTCTATCATACCAGGATACCTCTCCTAACCCTTTAAAAAAAAAGAAGTCTCAAGTGCCTGGAAAATACTCACGGTTCCTCTTCCATCTAGCCCTGCCCCACCTTTTCACAAAATGAACAATTTACAGCACATTCCCACTTTATAGATCAGTGTCCCAAGAAGTTTTTACATGAGTTAAAATGTAACTATGAGCACTTGGGTTTTTTAAGAGGTAGTTTTATTAGGGCAGCAGATGTCTTTCCCATGAAACGCCCCAGTTCAATGATGTTCACACATATGACACATCTTATGATCACAGTCATGTAATTAATTGGGAGGGAGCAAGGGAGCACAGGACTAACAAGCTCTAATTTAGTAAGGAATCTTCCATAAACTTCATTTTTGGTATTTTCTAACCGATGGCGTCACTGACAGTGATGATGGCGTGTGTCCTGAGGCTGGAACTGGCAGCCACCAGGTTAAGCAAACGATTGGCCTGCCTCTGCTGGCATTTGGCAGCCAGGGATGACATTTTGGGATTTTACTGGGTGACAGCTTTGTTCTGGGCAGGACTCCGATCCAGCTGCCTCCCAGCCACTGTTTTCTGGGGACAGTGCATCCAGCCTGAGCTCTGAAGAAACGCGTCAAGAGCCATGGGTTCACCTCGTACAGGGAGAGCTGGGTCCAGGGCCCCCCCTCATCCTGGGACCATCTCAAAAAGACATCTTTTGGAAGACAAACTTGGTACAAGGGGGATGGCTTCTTTCAAACCCAGTCATTAAAAAAAAAAAAAAGCAAGCAGCTGTCGATGGTGGCTGGCTGATTTCGCCTTTGATTAGGGAAGCTATTGGGTATCTGTAGTTTGTGAGTTGTGAGCTAAGGTTGTCAGGAGGCCTGACTGATTCACTTCTCCCCACTGCATCGTGATATCAAGGCAGCTTGACTTTTCTCCATCTGCAAACTAGACAAAAGAATCCTGTCCCTCCCGACCCCAGAGGAGTTAAGGACTCTGTACACAAAGAGGTTGATGGCAGAAACAAAACCCCTTTATTTTTACATGGGAATCGTGTAAAATTATCTGTAAGAAACTCACCATCTTATTACTTACTTACAGGAAGCTACTTGTAAGTAAATAACCAATACCCATGTGATGCATAAATGAAAATAGTCACCTTGTAAGTATGAAACTAGGTTTGGCTGCAGATAGACACCCTAAAATCACAGTGGCACAAACAGAAAGGGTATATTCTCTCATTAAACCGAGCTGTAAGGTGTGAATTTTGCTACCAAAGAAAAAGCAGGGAATTGTTGTAATATCACAAGACAAGTCCCAGCCTTGGGCACATCTTCCAAAACTAGAACCTATTGCTGTCAAAATGAAAATTCTTCAAAATAGATATTACCACAGTGGGTTCCATGATCTTGACATTGGACCAAGAATCAACAGCCTTGGATCCTTTGCTCCCCTAAGCTCTGAAGCTTTTTGATCACTTACTGAAGACCTCTGTGTGTCAGTTACAATGAATCTGCTCTTGAGAGTTGATAGGCCTAATGTATGTAAAAGTACTGAGGACCCACAGTGTTCATAAATTCAATAATAATAGTTTGGAAGACAGAAGCATGCCAAAGCCTGCTTAAAAACTTCCTGACCCAATTTATTTAAGAAATGATTGTCTTTGCTTTTATTTTGCTACCATCCACTTAGGGTAAATTCATCTTTTGCCAATTGTTAAATTATAGTTATTAAATCCTAATAATTCTATATCATTACATCTCTCTCTTTACAGAAGGGACACAGACAACAGTGGAGAGAGGTAAGCTAGATTTCGGTATCAAAATATTCTTTTGGGATTTAAAAAAAAAAGATTTCTTTGAACCTAATCTTTATAATGAATTATATTCTTTTCCAAATGGAAGTGAGCAAGTGCAGAATAGAGAACCTTCCAAGAACAGGTTTCAAACTTCTTTTAAGAGAGGAAAGGGAATTGCCTGTATTTGAAAATAAGCAAATCACAAATGAGTCTGTTCACTTAATGACAATGGAGAATGGTGTCATATCATGATTTACTGTTATCTAGGAGTGAAGATGGGGCTAATTTAATAGGTGTACACAAACGCTACTTAATCGTTACCTGTGAAGCCATCTAGTACAAATTGTATGCTTCATCGATCCTGAGACCCAGGAATCTTCCCATTCATAACATGGGATTAGAATAGCCCACAGTGTCTCCTCTTCTAAAACTGGATCCAGAAGAAACAACATAGAACATTCTTTGCTCTCTATAGTGGGGTGGTGGCCATTGTATTGCAGGTGTATTGTTTATCGAGGGTTCATGGTTTTTTCCTTCTTTTTCAGATGGCTTGGCAACAGGGACCCTGGTTGGAATCATAGTTGGGGTCTTGCTAGCCATTGGATTCATTGGCGGACTCATCATTGTGGTCGTGCGAAAAATGTCGGGAAGGTACTCGTAAGTAAATAACTTACACCCGTGTGATAGGTCAGTCAAGGAGGTCGCTTCTAGAGCTCCGACCTCGGAACCAATGGAAACCTTTAAATGAAGGTCCTGGTCGAAAGCCCCTACCTCCAGAAGTACTACACCTGAAGTTTTCCCAGAAGAATATGTGTCTATGTAGGCCTTATAAGTCTCCAGGAAAAGAGAGCCTGAGCCAGAGGTGACTCGTTGGTTGACTCCCATTGAACTCTGGCCAGATTGAACCTTTTGTCTTAATTTTCCAACTACCTGAACTTGAGAGAAAACCCAAACCAAGTTTTAACTTGATACCCAGTCACCCTGCTCCCGATCATCATCGGTGAGAGGTTTCCAGAAGACCACCTCCTGCAGGGCCGGAGCTCCATTCTGATGAGGAATTTTACTAGGAGGGGGACCCTCTGTCCATCCTGCCCCGGACACACCCGCGCATGTGGGAGCATGCTCCTAGCATTGGCTGTTGATGAAAGGAAGGAATTCTGTCTCTTTATTAAAGTTCCCTAAGAATTCAGTACATTCAAATGCAGAGCCAGAAGAAACCTGTTTCTTCTTTCTGTTGCGAAGATGAATTGGGGCTTTGGAGGATGGGGGAGGACAGACGCTATAGATCTGGTGGGGCGTTGAGGGACATGATTCACAACCCAGTTGCAGATTCATGTATTTGGAGATGCCCGGGAATGTGACCCTGGCTGCACGGGGACCAGGCATCGGGGAGGAATGATCTGGAAAGAAGAGCACCAGGTTTCCAAATTGGAACAGGGGTGTCCAACCCTTTGGCGTCTCTGGGGCTACACTGGAAGAAGAAGCGTTGTCTTGGGCCACACATTAAATACACAAACACTAATGAAAACTGATGAGCACACACACAAAAAAAAGGTTTTAAGTCAATTTACGATTTTGTGTTGGGCCGCGTTTATAGCCATCCTGGGCTACAGGTTGGACACCCCAAAAAGAAAATAGGAACATGACTCACAGGATTACTAGTCATGGTGCCAGTAAAAGAAGTAACAGTCACCCTTCCCTTTATTTTCACAGGCCCTAAAGAGCTGAAGAATTGCGCCCTTCTGCGAACATGTTTAAAAAAGAGTGTCCGACCTCCCCTGTCCCTGAGCAGGTGGGAGAAGATGACCCATGGAAATATGTGGCCGCCCCACTCAAAATCCATGGCGATCCCTCCGCTTGCAAAAGTAACTGAAGGAATGATAACTCCCAAGACTCGCTCCTCTAAGCATTTGTCTTTTGAGAAACTTTTTTAAAATATAAATTTTGGAAAAGGTGATTTTTTAAAAAATGCATAGAAAATGGAGCAAAACTATGTAAATTGATTTGTAACTAAGATAGACAATGTAATTCCATCGATGTTAGAAACTGTAATCATGTCTTTGTTCTGACCGTTCTCTGTTATTGTTAAAAAGCAAAGGAATCTGGAAATATTTATACCAGTGGAGTCCTTGGGTCTAGTGCTATGTCGGCAAATGGGATGAGCCTTTTGCAATTTCTGATCTGTTGAAATGGACACATTCCAGTCTAGTATGGTCTATTTTAAAAGTCTGATTCGGTGTGAATAATCAAGTAGAAAAATCTAAACTTGGGTAATATGTAAATTTTCCACACATCCACGGGGAAGCCTCTCGGCTTGCTCTGTCCTTGTTTCCAGCAATGACTTGATAACTGGAAGGTTTGCTCCTGCTTGACCCCCTGCTTCCCTCAGACGTTGGGGAGCTCAGGGGGTGGCCTGCCCCCGTCCCCGTGACGCAAGTCTGTCAGTTTGGCTGCTTTGTTCTGGAATGTGGAGACAGCTCTGACAGTGGCCAAGGAGGCTGCTAGAGCCCCAGCGGCGGCAGAGGCTCCCGCCTTCCAGAACCCATGAGCCATGGGTGGTCCCCAGACAGAAAGAAACCCTCTATGTGCCTCCGGCACGGAACATAGAACCTACCAGTTTTCTAGTATTTCCTTTCTGCCTCAGAGGGAAGACAGGGGAAGCAAAACTAACCTTGCAAAATATTATTTTTTTAAAAAGCAGTTGGATTGAAAAACAGAAGAGTCGCAGGCTTCATGATACCCCACGGGTTTCTGTGGGGTCGTCATTGAAAAAATCAATACCAAGGAGCCTGAGCTGCTATTTGGTGTTATGAACCATCCACAAGCATTTCCTCCCGGAGGTCAGCTGAATGCTTTGCCCTAAACAAAATGTCTTTATACTGAGCAGACACTCTGCCGTGAATGTGGTCACACAGTTATGACGTCCTGGAAACTTGCACGCGTTCATGAAACAGGAAAAAGTAAACTATCAGTCGGAAAGCATAGCCCGTCCCCTCGCCCCCCTTTTTGTATAGTAATGTGCGGATGTTATTTTAGACACTGTGCCCTACTGTTGCCTAATTCCAGCTGGTCCCCCCACCCCAGGTTCCATGTTTGAACAGCACCGGAGTGAGATGAGGGGGTGTAGAAGAGCTTTATAAGCTTAATGTCCTTCCATTTTGTCACTCAGATTCCCGAACAGGAGCTGGGGATAATCTATGTCCATGTCGTCTTCCCTTCTTTCTCTCACCGTGAACCATGACGGCCCGCCCTAAGTCATACACTGGACCCACTGCCTGCTGGGACCAGGCTGTGGGTTTCTTAGTCACATCCGTGTTGACGCGCGACGCAGCGTGGACATGTTTGAAAATAAAACCAATGACTGCGTACCACATTGAGTCAGAGCTTTGATTAGAAATCTTGATCGCGTCGGGGTCACACTTAAGAGCATCTCTAGATAAGCTTATAAAGTATGTCAACATCTGCCTCTTGACCAGGAGTGAATTATAAATGGTCATAGGAAGTATAACCGTGGGAAAGAAACGTAACTATGCCTTTCACCTAGAGGTTAAGGTCAAGCTGACAAATGGGATGAGAAGACAAGTGGCACCTTGGGACTTTTTTTGCCCTCTCTGGTCCGAATGAGCTAACTGAGTTTTGTCCTGATTTGTCTGTACTGAGAGGGGAGCCAGGTGAGGGAACAGCCACCCCTTCTCCTGCGGGTCCTCCCAGGAGCCTGACCTCAGGTGGCTGGGCTGGACTGCACAAGACCAGGAGGTGGCGTTACCCTGGCTGAGGGTGTTCCTGCTGCCTGGGGGCCTGGGAGCATGTTCCAGAATTCCTGTCCCTGGAACGGCTCACTCCCTGGTACTTGGCCCTCTGCTGCAGATGCTCTGCTGGTCTGGAGGCTGCAGCAGCCAGGCGCTCTGGCTCTGCCCCCCGGTCACAGTTGCGGGTACGTCTGCTCCTCCCCACCCCCACCTACACTGCTCCGTGAGAATTCCACGCCCCGCCCCGTGCCACCTCCCTGACAATCCTATTCCTGCCTATAAAGCTCAGATGCTGGGAACAGGAGAGCTGTGAGAATCACACCTTCCTCATAACGTTAAATCCAGACGGTTGAATCTGCCAGATATCAGGATTCCTGAGGGCCGGGTTCATAAGTGTCATGGAAAAGACCAGGACCCAAGTCCTGTTCCTACTACTTCACAGCTGTTACCCCCAGACGAGTCAACTGCTAACTTTTGGGGGCCAATTTCTTCCTAATATCTTCCATGAGATGGTTCAGAAATTCTGCCTGTTCTAGCAGAAAAATACCCACATCTACCTGGCCTGGCTGAGAGGGAACAGGCCCTCAGCTATGTCAAGTGTAAACTTCTGTTCCCGTATATGGTCCCCGCAGGACGGGACTGGAAACTCTTGGAGCTGCCAAGAGGACTGGAAGTTAGGGAAACAGCTCCATCCACTCTTTGATTAGAGCCATCTGGGAGCAGGCTCTGCCGTTAACTATTTGCATCCTATTAAAGCCTTGTTTTAACCCCCGTTTTCCTTCTTTCTTTTGACCTGGGAGAACGCATCGAACACCAGGACTTAGTGTTGCTTCATGAGCCACTTTTAACGAACAGAGAGAGGACAAATGACAGACTCCCTCTCTGCCTCCATCTTTATTTTAATTCATATTTACTTAGTGTCCAGGGCTTGGGAATGCTTGTGACCAATGCTTGAAAGTCCAGTGGAAGCAGGAGGAGCGCTTCCCCGAAATGCAGCTGGATAGTTACGCGTGCCCTTGGAGTAGAGTTGTCCATTTGTGCGCAGCAGGGGACTTGGCATTCCCTGAGAGACTGCATTTCCCTTTGCTCTTCCGGAAGCTTAAAAGCAGGTTAAAATGCATTGTAGATCCTAGGTTTTAAATTCAATAAGTGGAAAGTTTGTAACCACGGTTGCTCGGCAATAATGCTGAATACATTTAAAATTTTGGAGTAGAAGCATGGAGACTGTCCCGCTGGTGTGAGGAATGGGAGACTTTGAACCCAGGGATGCAAGCACCAGCCTGTGATGTCGTCCCTCAGCACGTTCGTTCTCTGGGGGTCATCTTATCAGACGGTGACTTGAAGCACCACGTGCTCTATTTCTGCATCCAGGGCTCCAGGCCACAATATAGTCCTGTCCACGACCCTGAGACCTTGCTCCTGCTTTTTTTTCCTTCGCTACCCCTTTCTCTCCTGCTGCCTCTAACTCCCCACTGGTGCAGACCTTTGAGGAGACAGTCCCATGCTGGCCACAGAGGGGCCTATCTCCAGAGTGATGGTCACCCTCTGGCCTCCACTACCGAGGCTGTCTGACAGGAGTGCTGAACAACCAAACCTGTTCACAATGCCCCTGTGTCACCGCAGGAAGGCTGACAATGCTCTGCTTAGAGAAAGCTGAACCTTCCTTTTGCTCCCCGCCCCCAGCCTATAAATTAGGATGGAACTGGGGATGACACAGGGACAGTTGGAAAGGGACTGTATGGTGTGCGTGTTTGTCCAACAAGACCCAGGGGCCAAAGACACTCACTTGGGCCAACCAGCTATGTTGGGTTGCTGGAGAGATACAATCTCATGGGACGGGAAAGATGTGATCACTTACTCATTCAACAAACGCTCTCAGGTCCTATTCTAAGTTCTGGGGATACATAGTGAACAAATCCAGAAATCCTTGCCCGTGTGGAGCTTTCATTCTAGCACGAGACAGACTGTACCCAAAATATATAAGCAAATCATAGAGGATGTGAAAAATGAGAGGGTCGTAGAGGCCATGGAGAAAAGCCGCAGGGGGAAGAAGGGAAGGGAAGCGCAGGGTGGACGGACTGCAGTGTTGAATCAGGGCTGGGGAGGGCCTCGCTGAGACTTGAGCAAGTCCTTGACGAGGCGGGGAATGAGCCCGACAGGCATCTGGGGGTAAAGCATTCTGGCTAAGGGACTACCCAAGACCTAAGGTAGGAGCAGGTGTGGTGAGGTTAGGGAACGCAGGAAGCTCAGAAGGCTGCAAAGGAGTGAGCACACGGGAGGACGGTGGGAAATGAACTTAGTGAGGTGGGGGACTTGCAAATGGGAGCCACTGGAAGGTTTTGAGGAATGACATGATCTGACTTCTATTCCTCTCCCTTCCTCCCCCCCGCCCCCCCAGCCTCCGCCAAAAAATGACTCTAGCTTCTGGCTGGGAACTGGCCAGCTAAAAGCCAGTGTGATAATCCAAGCAAGAGATGTGAGTGACTCAGACCGGGATGATGACCGTGGGGTGGCACAGAGTGGTCTGGTCCTGGTTATACTTTGAATGAAGTCAACAGGATGATCTGATGGACAGCACCCAGGATATGCGAGAAGCAGAGATCTCATGACGACCCCAGGGATTTTGCCCTGAGCAATTGAGAAATGGAGACGCCCTCAGCTTACGAGGGAAGGCTGTGGATGCGGCAGGTGTGAGAGGGAAGAGCAGGCACTCTGTGTTTAACATGTAGAATTGTTTTAAAAGATTTTATTTATTTATTTTAGACAGAGGGGAAGGGAGGAAGAAAGAGGGGGAGAGAAACATCAATGTGTGGTTGCCTCTCGTGTGCCCCCTACTGGGGACCTGGCCTGAAACCCAGGCATGTGCCCTGACTGGGATTCGAACCGGCGACCCTTTGGTTCTCAGGCCGGCTGAACATGTAGAATTTGAGATATCTGTATGAGGTCCAGGTGGAGGGGCCAGACAGGCAGCTGGGCATTTGCACCTGGGGCTTGAGTAAGAGATCTGGCAGGAGACATAATTTGGGAGTTGTCAGTACTCAGTAATGACATTAATGAGATCATTAAAGGCATGAGGGTAAATAGAAAAAGAAAAGTTCAAGTTCAGAGCACTGGTGGTCTTCAAGGTTAAGAGGTCAGGGATATGGAGAGGGATCACCAAAAGACTCTTCTACCATGGCCTGGATGATCTAGATCTCAGGATTAGTCATTTCCCTCCGTTCTATTTTATATCACCCGACAACCATCTGATGAACACTCAGCTCCAAGTACCTTAATGCTGAGACAGGGGTGCCCTCGATATGGACTCAAATATTCCCATCACTGAGAAAGAATCTCGTTCATTGAAAATGAACAGTAGTGTTAAAATCAGTTTCTGGTATGTGATGTTCTAAATCAGTTTCTTATGAGTTTGATTGGTAGGAATTTAGGCACTACAAGCTGTTCGACTCATGCAATAACGATTTCTGAAGTATAAATGTGAGGACCAGATCTTTTGAGAATGATAACCCCAGCAAGGTACCACTTGTAGGTTGGGCATCGGACTCCGTTCCCTACACAGCACTGTGTTATAAGTCCCACCTGTAATGGTGCCTACATGATCTCCCACCATCCAGCTGCCACCCGATCCACTGATGGGCTCTGTCCAAGTCTCCAAAGGACCCCCCACTGGCCAATGCCGTGGCCTCTTCTTGGTCTTGTTCTCAGTAACCATCAGCAGCCATCCACGTTGTTGACCCCCTTCCTGAAGCCAGGTCCCGTCCCGTCCCGTGGTTTGCGTGCCATGCTACCGCTCTGGGTGCCCCTCCTGGCTCTCTGTTTGCGTGTCTTCACTTCACCCTCTCCCCTCGTGGGGTTACCTAGAGCTCACTTTTCACTTCTGAGTAAAGAGAGAAGGTACTGCTGTACACCCCCCGCCCCCCATTCGTTGCCCATTTCTTGTTGGCAGAGGGTGGTCCCAGAAGGACGAACTTGGGAAACACCATCTGGTTCGGAGCTTGCAGTTTTTTACATGAAACAATGTAGAAAATAATGCCTCCCTCGTAGCACTGTCATCAGCCTTAAAGTAAATAATGAGTGTTTAGTGCCTGTCTGAAAACACAGTAACTGCTCCATCATTAGCAGTAATTATTCCAACGGCCACTCCTCCCCTCTATTACTGTAGCTCATTTACTCTCGCACATCCCTATGAAGTAGGCGAGACAAGAGATTATCCCCATTTTGCAAGTGAAGAAATGGAGGTTCAAACAGTTGCCTAAAATTACAGAGTTACGAAACGCCTGTGCAGGTGTCTCGCCTCAGCCTCCAGCCCTGGTCTCCTTTGTTCAGTCCATGGGGCATCTGTTAAAATCAGTTGTCTCCCTATAAGCTCAGCAGCAGTGCTTGTCAAAGGCTCAGTCTCTTCAGCCAGTGGAAAAGAGGAAACTTTTTCTAATTATGAACTATTTTAAACATACAGAAAAATACAGAGAGAAATCACAAGGCCCCGTACACCCACCACCGAGCTCCAGCACACCCTACCATTTTCTCATATTTTTCTATATAATTTGTTTCTCTCCTTCCCTTCCCCTCTCCCTAAAAATAAGTA